GATTGGGTTTTTTTTTGGGGACCCGTTATAAAAACGGGGACGGGTAGCCGCCGGTAGTTGTAGAAACCCCCACTGGCCCCACTATATGTCTTTAAATTATAGCGAGGGAAAAACAACTTCAATTTCGCAAAAACAACTTCAATTTCTCAAAAACATATGTCTAAATAACCAATAGAGTGCCAACCCAGCGCAGAAAGGACGAGGAAGTGAAGTGGAAATGTATAATTTCCACTTTTTTTCGTTTTTCTGACTTGTGGGGTGGGACCTTCCCTTGCGAACCTACTTAAAACGCGGTGGACATGCTGAAGAGAGGGGGAAGGCCAGCCAACCGTTCCTGTCCAGGCCTCAGTAGGTCCATATTATCACAGTTTATATTATTTATTCACACCAAAAAACGGCCTTCTTAAGGGCCCCACACACTACGTTCTTTTTCGTCGGTTTTCATCGCCGCGATGAAACACGACGATCTAAAACCGAAGTGTGTGGTAGAAAACCGAAGTGTGTGGTAGAAAACCGTCGTGTTTCATCGTCAGTTGAAAATTCAGTTCGAGCTTGATTTTTGGCACGACGGTTGAACATTTCGTTCCAAAACCGTTGTATGTGGGCTCAACTGTCAAAAAATCGCGTAGTGTGGTGAAAACCGGCTGACGATGAAACACGACGTTGTTAATCGTGGCGATGAAAACCGACGAGAAAGAACGTAGTGTGGGGGGGCCTTAACAGATGCCTTGAGGCTTTTGCATCTTGGGCTCTCGTAGTATATGATTTAAGTGATTTTAAGTGAATTCTATGATATTCAGAAGTTTCGTATAGGATTAAGTTTATTTGTTCTCTACTATTTTGGCAAATTGAAAAGTGTCAAATTTTTGTGTTCGGTAACCTATTTTTTGCGAGGCTCCTTAGGGCGCGAGGCCGTCGGCAGTCGCCGACGCCTGGCTACGCCACTGGGTGTCAATATATAAAAAAACAGCCTGTACGTGTAGCTTGAATTCCAATCGACTGTTTTTTATGTTATATTAAGTAACGATATCACATTTGTCGGACAAAAATTTTGGTGTATGATCTAATTCTTCATCTGATTGAAATATATACCTTGATCAGTTTAATAAAATTATGGGCATTGATTTCAACGCAAGTATAACAGTTTAATGATATAAAATTTTCTGTCAGTTTATGAGCTTTGGTCTCCTTCATCCATGCACTTTCTCCAATATCTTAGAAAAAGAGTGGCGCACCATATCTTTTTTAACCTGAATTTCAAATCCTGATCTTGTGAAATTAGGGCATCAATCAAAAAATCCATAACTTTCGAAAAGGCGTGTACCAGTTAATTCAGGCATATTAATACTCAGAGCTACTCTAACTCGTGAATGACAGATCTTCTGTGCGCTTTTATAGTTCATTTTGTCTTGATGAGATGAGATGTCGCTCCGGGTTACCAAATGCTTACTTTTGTTTACCTCGTTTATGAGGAAGTCCAGATGTTTATAGCTTGCATCGTGATTTCCCAAAACTAATTCGATATTGCGTTTCAGAAGTCTCATACGTAATTTGGTCAAAATATGAATACCATCTTTGCATTTCTATTGGTTGCAGATAAGGTTGGTCTATACTCTATCTACTAAAGGATGTTATAAGTATACATGAGTCAATATTTGAAAATATTGTGTTACACACCGCACCGATTGAAATTCCACGAAAATGCCAAAAAATTCCACGAAAATTCCAAAAAAAAATCCACAAAAATATCAAGAATTCCACAAAAATGCTATTAATTCCAAAAAATTTCACAGAAAATTTCATTTATTGTCAAATCTGACATTTCAACAATGAAATACTGGTTTTTTATTGTCAGTTTGGACCAATCAGAATACAATTACCTGATAATTTAGCTGCATCTAAAAAATAGCGATAATTTTAAAATTATCGATAATTTGCACATGTGCTAATTGCTGATAATTTTTTCTCAGGTATTTTTTCACCTTTTCTTTATATTTATGCCAAATGAATTTCAATATATTTTTCAAACGATCTGTTTGAAGGGTGCATTAAAACACGAATTTTTGGAAACATCTACCTATATTTGCAAAAATATTAAAAAGTGCTCTATACAATAATTAATTAATTGTTATTGAAATTATGACAATTAAAAACACAGTTTTCAAATTTAAATACTGCCTTCGAAGAATTATTTTCAGACATTACACTATTTGAAGTTGAAATCGTTTGCGCCGAACTGAGAACAGGGGAAGCATTACAATTTTGAATTTCATTATTGGCGGCGTTATGGTTTCCTCTCATTTTATGGATAATATCCTCATGAAAGCTCTGATCCAATTGTAAATAGGGTTTTATCGAATTAACGTTACCATGGGCAGTTATTTTTATTAATTGATTTTCGCCAACTCCAGATTTAGCCAAATGGGTTACGCTTGTAGCCCTATGTGAATGGTTAGTAAATTTAAATTTTTTGCTATTTAGGCCGGCCTTTTCTGCTGCAGTTTTTGTCCATTTTGAAATTTCATTCCTGCCAGCTGGCATATTTTTATACCATGTGCCACTTTTTCTCCATTCTGGATTAGGTGTTAAGAAAAGTCTGTTGATCTTCACATTATTTCCTCTTTTGGAAATAAACAATTTGTGCAACCTGGAAATAAATCATATTTGAATCAATAAGTTTACCTATTGAAGCACTTTTTCTTACCTAATTGGGCATATGGCTTCATCGGCGTTGTTTCTGATAAGCCATTTACTGTCCGTTAGAAGGTGGCTACCACCTTGGCGTGTTTTCGAAAAAATTGGATTGTATTCAATCCTGTTTGTAGGTGTGCCATCGTGAAATTTTTCCATTTTAAAAAAATCAGTTGTGCAATTTGGAGCTTCGCCACCTCTAAAAGCCAGTTCAAATGATAAAACGTGGAACAACTTTTTTTGAAGCCCGTCGGGAGTATTTTCATCAAAAAGTTTGAGAATACTCAAATATTCTTCGGACGTAAAAGCTGAGGAACTTGTTTTTCTTTTGCTTGGATCACCATGCAATTCTCGCCGTACGGCGTCTCTTGCTGCTTTGAATGTAATATTTGAGAATGGATCGAGGTTGACACCATATTCGCTATACTTCTGTTGAAGTAATTTGGCGGTCACATTCCACACAGTCTTGACTACGCTCTCTTTGTAAAACGAACCATCTTTTCTTCTCATATTACTTGCCCAATCCTTTAAAATATTAGCTAAAGTTTCTGGTGTTGTCTGGGCTTCCAATACGTATTTTTTCTCAAAGCAAAATTCTTCGAATTGTTTCCATATTGAATTTTTCGATTTTTTTGTGTTTTCCAGGAGTTAGGTCTTCAATGGATTTGTCAATTTCTTGCATGGAAGCGTTACCAAATCGCGACATTTTTCTTAAATGTTGAGACACGAAATAAACTTGTTTATTATCACAAATGCCAATTGTTAAATCACCATAGAAATTGTTTAAAAAGGTAATAACTAGTAACTAGACCAAAAATAAAAATAGAGAAACACCTTCAATTTCATTTGACAAATTTTATGTGACAGTGACAAATTTTTTTCTTATACAGGACAAGTTGAAAATTCATGAAATTTTCTGATAAAATATAACTCGTGCATTAAAAATGCATCGATAATTTTCGACAAATCTTCACTCATGCATGTTAAACTGAAAAAAGCACTCGTGCACTCCGTGCACTCGTGCTTTTTTCAACTTAACGTGCATTCGTGCATATTTCCCAAAAATTATCGCTAATTTTTAATGCACTTGTTATATTACTACTGAAAATCCCAAAAAGTCCACAAAAATGCCAAAAATTCCATAAAATGCACTTTGCCTGTACAAAAAATTTCAGCAGCGATTTGCCCCTCGGAAATACCTGATAATCGAGACTACGTAGTGCTTTTCCTGGGCAGAGAACATGCAAAAATGAGTTGTAATAGAGTATGGACAAAGTTCTGAGGTGGTCAACAAAGATAAACTTGATTCTCATCCATCAGACATCCTACCAAATAAACAATAAATAATTGTACGTCAGAATCTCTGAATTCAGTACCTGGCATTTGATGCCATGCTGATTTCATGGATTCAGAGAATTTAAGAAAATGTCACCTAAATAAGATAGGAACACATTCCTAGCTGTCGTGGAAAGATGATTGGATTGTAAAATGGATCTGATGTAAACACCTGATGTGATGATGAGAACCTTGAATAAATAAAATAGCAGATCCTGCCTGCCTCGATATAAACTAAACAAGTTGAACTTACAACGAGTAATACCTAATTGTTTTTCTTTTAAAACTCTGAATCAACTTGAGTAGACTATATCCCTGAATTTTAAAATCCATATTCATAACCGAGGTGAGTTAATATTGTGGTCAATCAGTATAAAATTTCTTATCTTCACTGATGTGTCACACTCACATAAACGTTTATAAACAACAACTGACCGCATATAAGCTATAAAACAGTCATATCTTTGAAGTTAATTGGAAAACATACGTGCCTTTATGATAACTACCATTTGTATTGGCTTGATAAGAGAAAAACAACAAAGAACCATTAAAATAAATAATCTTTTTTCCAATAATTTGGTTTTTCCAATTAAAATTTTATTTTTTGCAACGTGTTAGGTATAAAATAAAAACTTAATTGCTTTAATTATGCGACTAATTACGGTGGCCCCCTGGTGGATTAATGTCGCTTGTTATTAAAGCTGGAATTTTGAGCGATAACTTGCTTAAATCTGATTTATCTGGAAATATGAAATATGTTATATAAATATTAACGAGAAACCTTGAGCAATATTTGTTAAGCTAATTAAGCTGCTCGCAGGTAAAATTATTTTTCCGGAAGAATATTTCATTTCTGTTAAATTTGTTTTTTAATAGCTAATTTTATACATTATATAACAAAACCAAGATTATTCAAACAAAACATCTATGTGCCTCGAAAATGAAATTTGAAAAAAATCTTTTTTTGTTTATAGTGAGTCGACTACACTGCGAGTCAGAATCCTTCAAAATGGACCTAATCCTGGATATCAACTCCTGGCTGTACCCCATGGAATTAGGTAAGAAGTAATAATGTTATAGTTTCATAAAATGCGAACATAAAAATTGCTTGTTGAAGGTGGTAATCTCGAAAATTTGAAATTCAAACCAGCAGGTAAACTGCCATGACAAATTTACTTCTTTTTTCAACATTTGGAATTCAGATCAGGTGAAATCTTGTATCATTTCCTCTGGAAATTTACATTTCAAAATTACAAGTGACATAATGTTCAGGATTAAGATTACATCTCAGCTATTTAAGCACAAATATCCCTTCGCTATGATTTACATTCAGTCTAATCATTCTACTTGTTTACTGTCCATATAAAATTAATTGAACCAATTAAAAGTAATTATCAATTAATAGTTTTCAACCTTTTCTAACCATTGGTTCATTACTGTAAGTAACAATATTATTTCTGAGAATCAAGATCAGTCATCTGTAATGATTATCACATCACATCATATCAAATTACCTAATTACGTTGAATACATTTTATATTACGAGATGAAGTGCATTTTTTGCAATAATGACCATATAGTATAGAGGGGATTCTTGTATATTTTGCCATTAAAATTGTTGACCAAATACATTTGAGCTTTCTTTTGAATATATTTCATCCACAAATAAGTTTTTTCAGCGAGCCATTTAGTCAATGGAAAACGAAACAAATAGAATGTATCATCATTTTATCATAGAGCAAGTCATTTGTTTCTGATTTATTATCGAGGCCATGTTAAGGCTCGAAAATAAAAACAAAAATCATATGATTAATGTATTTACAAACAGGAGGCAGCTAAGTCCATTATAAAATCGATTCCTAATAACTATTTTTATGGGAGAGCTTGAGTAAAAGGACAAAATGTTGCCAATACTATTCTTTAGATTATTGGATGCAATCCAAGCAAATAATTCCACAAATTTTTTGTAAAGAGAAATCACTTTTTTTTCACTAAGATCATGAATTCTCGGCTAGCAAAGGCTGAACTCTGAAAGCTAACTTAACTGTGCAATAATAAACTCATCCTTGATTAGAAAGCTATTGAACTTGTAAAACTGTTTTCAAAGAAAATCCATGCAATGTCGCAACGCCGCTTCGCAGTAAAAGAAGAAAGCAAAGCGCGTCGCATTGCAGCGCCAGCGTCTGCGCCTCCTGTTGCCAACCTTGGCATTGAACTTGGGACAGCAGGAGGAGAGTGCGCAGTGTCGCACGTCGATATTGAGAATAGGACGGTGGAGAGAGAGAGAGATGGTGTTTGATGATGGATGGTTTGTTTGTTGGGAGAGGCACCGTTGTTACCGTGTGCCGCGCGTTTTTTCGGCCCGACGGGACTAGGGCAACAATCAGTGGCGGAGGAGAAATTTTCTTTCACCTGTACCCGAAGAATGTTTGACTTGGCAATTTATTTTAGAAGAGGGATGAGCTTGACGAAACGGGTAGCCTTTGAAAAATGTTGACAAAAAGATACACATATTTAATTTTAAATTATTATCTACTCTAGTCCAATGGGCCACTTTCACATTTTTCAAAAACATTTTTAAATTATTTTTTTAGTCAATCTAATACTATCTGTATACTTTTTTTCCGAAAAAAAACGCTTATTTTTGAAAAAAAAATTATTTAAAAATCGAATTTTCAAACTGGCGTGAAAAAATGAACTTGGTGTGTGACGTCACACACCAGAAAATCAAGGATGCCAAATTTCTCATTAGTAAGTCATTACATATTTCACTAGCTAGAAACTATTTTCGTCCTTTACTACATTATAAAAAAATAAAGGATAGGTATAATCTTTATTAACTCATTTAAATTTCGCATTTCTACATGTGGCAACAAAAATGTCAAAATCAGCTTTAGCCAATCACATAGCGTTTTCAATCACGTGATTTTTCGTTTAAATTTTTAGTTTTTATTTATTAATTTATTTAATAATCTGACTAAAATCTTTCAAAATATTGTTCATTCTTGGTTGCACTGATGTATTTGCGTCAAAAAATATTATAATTTGCCATATTCCCGGCACGTGAAAGTGGCCAATTTCGGACTTCCATTGTCTGAACCTATCCAAGACACGACGTTTATTTCCTTGCTAGATTACTTGATAACAGTGATATTGTTACGGTTTCATGTTCCTCAGAGACAGACTTTCGTTAATACCTTCAATTTTCATCTGGAGCGACATTTGAGTTGCGTTAATTGCGTATTAATTGTTTTGGAAGAATTCCAACTTGACTCTTCTGTAACCAAAAATCCTTGATAGGACACGAAAAGGTCACAGGGAACGACGGGTTTTTTTCAAAGCACGTTTTGCCTATTTTGTTTTTATAGATAATTTGGGCTCCTTGCTCACTTGCTGCGTAGCTAAAAATAGTATTTATTACCTACACTATTGCCAAGTAATATAGATTCAATTTGGAAGTTTCCAGGAAAATCTCAAGTGACCAGTTTAGTTTTCTTTGTGTTCAAAAACCCCAAGGTATATTGGTATTGGTAAGCTGCTTGTTGTTTTACTGTATTTATTTCCTTATTCTGTATCTGTACCTGCTAAAACATGTCTGTTTTGTTTCAGTTTTGTCTATAATTAATACAATTTCATACCTACCATACCGCCCTTTCTCAGTCGCAATTTTTTCGGTTTGTTTCTTTTTCTTTCCTTCAACTTTGGTCTTCCCTTTTATGGACCTTTGGGGGTCTTGTTGGGCCCTGTAAGGGACGTACCAATAATTCCATTCTTCTGAGACATATGAGACTCAAGCTCTGGCGCCTGCCAGACTGGCTATCGCCTTAAATTGAACGTAAAGTCCTCCAGGGTTGAATAGAATTTTGTATTGTCCTGTGCATCGAACAGAACCATTATAGGTTCTGTTCGATATTTCTGCAAGTGCAAGTTTATTTTCAGGGGATAAATTGGGAATTTTTGTTACGCCAACATCCAATAAAAGATACTAGCATAGGTTATTAAAATTACATTTATTTCCATAATGAGAATATTTTTTATTGTGTTTTGATCAATTTCAGTGAATGTTTAATTATACAATGAGGATAATTATACACATAACAACAGTAAACAAATACACACATATCAACAAAACATCTTTTTTTTCTTTTTTTTTTAAATGTTGGTCTAACTGCAAGAGATATTGCAGCATGTTAAACCCCCATAAGGAAAAGCCAATACTGTAATATTTTCACAAAATATCTCAAGTACACATTTCTTTTACAGACTTTGCTTTCACTATGTATTTCTATTATATTACCCACTAATAACTTAACTATAGCTTTGTGTTCACTTCAAACAATTAAACAGCGCTGTCTCTGGAAATAAATAACACCTGTTTACAAAAGTACAGTAGGTACCCCAATTAAACACAATTTAGCTCTCGGTTAAGAAAAGTCTAATGTTAAGTTTGTTGTTCTTATACTTATATACTGTCATCGAGTCCGGAGTCCGGAATCAAAATATTGCTTTTGGGACTCGCATAAGCGTTTTCTTTCCTGCTTCTCTTAGGTTTCACCGCTTCACTATCAGACTGTCGTTTATTGTCGGTTTCTCTGTTTTCGGAAATTTTCTGTGACTTTATAGAGTAAACAAAACTGGGGTCGTTTTATTTATTTACCGTTGCCCTCTGCGCTATTGGGAGCTAGTTGGCAACCCTGTAAACTGAATTCCTTTTCCAGAACCAGCCTAGTCCCCAGGGAAGTATTATATCCATTGGGCACAGTTGCCAATACAAAAAGGCGTCAGATCGTCTTAACAAAATATTCCACTTTTCCAAACATCGATGATAACGGTACGCCATTTGAGTCGACAGAAATAGGTAATCCGACTCTATGCTGGTTCTTGCTCAATGATTGCATTTGACAGCCTGTTACATAGAAGAATACAACTTAAAACGTTTTGACGAACTAGACCCTCTTATGGTCGTTTGAATTTCTGTGTTGAGTAGTTCCTGAAAGTGTTATCTGTACTAGGGCAGCTTAAAAACAGTTCCTCCATCTATTCTCGTTGAAAGGAACACTTTCAGGAACTGCTCAACAGAGAATTTCAAACTACTATAAAGGGGTCTAATTGGTCAATAACCTTTTAAGTTTTTTTTTTGTTCCTTCTTTTTTGGCTTCGCCCCTAGGACATCTAGCCACTTCTGGTTGTTGTTGCTTGGGTATGTCCGGCTCGAAACCGCCCACAGCAACTCATTCTCTTCAACTCCTGGACTTCTTTCTTTTCTTCTGGGAACCTCTGTTGTCTTTCCAATGGACCACTTGTCTCCGGACCTTGCTGTTTTATGTGTTATTATTATTATTTCATTTTATTTATTTTCTTTTTTCCTTAAGTAAGTAGGGAGTGTGTTAGTTGGACAGATAGCACAAACATGGGAAGAACTCTTCTCGCTTCTGGGAAACCGAGGAGCTGCACACAAGTAAATGTTGCCTCGGATTAGAAGGATTGGACTGATAGTTAAGGGTTTTCAATTTTTTTTTTTTCCCTCGGAGCTACAATTCAACCCCATTTTCAACCAGGTAACTGAAAATTGAATTATTAACTTCGCTAACTGGGTCAAATAAAATTGTGTCTAACGAAATTGGGGCTTGCACACCTATGTTTACAATCATTTCGTATAGATTAAGTTGGTTGTTTCGGTATTCCAAAAGCAGGTGTTCCAGTGTACCTTCTTCTCCACATTCACCTTTTAGGGTCTTTTTGATTCCTAGCCTGTGCAGATGCTGAAGGTTCAAGCAATGGCCCACTCGCATTCTAATTATTGTTGTGATATGCCTTCTATCAATGTATTTCAAGTTATAGAATCATGGAGCTTCGGAGAATCGTTTCACCAATTTTTTGTATTTGCTCCCCTTTTTGTCTAGTTTGCTCTTCCACTTCCTGTGCCATATTGCTTTGTGATCCTTTTTAAATTTCGGGATGTGTTCCTTTATATCGAGTTGAATTGGGTATGGCACCGTCAGGATCCCTCCCACCTTGGCTAGCTGGTCTGCAATTTAATTCCCTTTAATATTAGAAT